GGCTGCCTGTCCAGAGGCCTGGTTAGCTGAATCTTGACTTTGGCCAGAGACTATTGGAGACTCCGGCTAAGTGGCAGTATTCCACAATGTGGGCTTGAGGAAGGAGACCTAGGTATCTGGGATTCCCTCCCCGTCTGTCATCCACAGCGCATCTCAATGGAAGAAAGAGCAGGCCAGCTGGCGCCTCCTGAATCTCCTTCCTGTAGGTGGCAGGCTTGGTCTTGGGGAAACTCTCCGGAAGACACTGTTTTTACTTAAAACAAGGTCAAACCCAAAACCTTTTCATATGTGAGTCCTAAAACTGTAAACCGGACCCTTTCACATGTGATTCCTGAAACTGTAAACCTAAACCCTTTTCATATGTGATTTCTGAAGCTATAAACCTAAAGTTCTTCCACGTGTAACATCTAAAGTATAAGCCTATATAAACTTCCTTTGTTACATCATTTCCTCAGCTCTGGGCTGCAACAGACTATTTCCTTCTGTATTCGATGTTCCGGAGATCCATTTCCCAGGGCCTTTCCTGCTACAGCCTAAAGTGCCTGCTTTGTTTCAAGATTAGCTTCTGGGGTTTCTTAAATGAAACGTAATTAGATAAGCAAGCATTGTTGAAGGGCAGTGTCTAGAAAGGGAAAGAATGGAGAGGTGAGAGGGGAGAAAAGGAAGGAAAAAAAGTGGGTGATTTTTAAAACTGAGGAATCTGGTTGTAAGAGGAGAGAGAATAAAGAGAATGAGGAAGCAAAGTGAGCAACGAATGGGAAGCTCTAACAGAAAACATTACAAGGGTCATTAATTTTGAGGCTACCATAAATGATTAACTCAAACCATAAATGATTACATGAAATAAAAATTCTATTCATTTCCCCTCTTTTCTCTCCTTTTCTTTCTTGTCATCATTACCTTGAAGTTAATGAAAATAAGAATACCTAGGCCTGGCGCGGTGGCTCACACCTGTAATGCCAGCACTTTGGGAGGCCGAGGCGGGTGGATCACGACAAGGTCAAGTGATCGAGACCCTCCTGGCCAACATGGTGAAACCCCGTCTCTACTAAAAATACAAAAAAAATTAGCTGGGCATGGTGGTGCGTACCTGTAATCCCAGCTACTCAGGAGGCTGAGGCAGGAGAATTGCTTGAACCTGGGAGGCGGAGGTTGCGGTGAGCCAAGGTCGCATCACTGCACTCCAGCCTGACGCCTGGTGCCGGAGTGAGACTGTCTCAAAAAAAAAAAAAAAAAAAAAACAACCTGGAAAACTTACATGAAAGCACTTGTATATAACAACGTAAATGTCATAGAATTTCTCAATAAATGACCATTACTATTTCAAACCAAAAAAGGACACTGATTGGCTAAATAATTAGTTCATACTGGAGGGTACTTGCTGAGATGCAGTGAGATTGATGTCTACAGTCTCCACTTTTTGACAGACTTGTCAAAAGATATAATGACAACAAATTCAGTTACAGTTCGAACTGGCTTTTATTTGAGATTCATGAATGGGGCATGAATCCATTATACAGAAGAGAATGAAGGCTGCCACTGGCAGTAGCAGAACAGGAGGTTTTGTAAGGTGGGAAAGGAAGCAGAACAACAGTGGGGGAAAGCTGATTCGCGAACATCAGTTGGCTTTTCTAGTGAGAGTTATATGCTACGCCGGTACACCACACCAAACCAATACAATCACTCACGGTAAATGCCACATAATCAAAATCTGAGGAAGCAGATGGATCCACTAACAGACCAGCGTTCCCTGAAAACAAGAGATGCCTGTCAACCTGAGGGAGGTTAACAAGAAAGTCCCTTCTGCTTTAACCACTACAAGAAAAGGAACTTGAAGTGACTTGATGTTAACCAGCCAGCATTCCCCACCCCCGCCCGCCGTTGTTCTGTCTCCTTGTTCCCACCTGACAAAATCCATTGTTCTGCTGTTACCCAGTGGGAGTTTTCATTCCGTTTTGTAGAATGGAGGCTGACTTAATTCATGAATCACAAATAAAGGCCAGTTAGATCTGTAACTCAATTTGTTTTAATTGTGTGTGTTGACAGGCACTACACCAAACATAGCATGGGCAAGCAGAAATGTAGAGCCAGGGGTCAGTGTGGGAGTCGGTGCATGGAAAATCACTAAGAGGAAACACCTGGAGTAACGGGGATTCTGCCTAAACCAGCCTAACAGGTTTCTTGTGGAAGACCCGCCAGGGTGATCAGACATCACCTGGGCAATGGTGGCGGATGAGGAACCTCATCAGAGGTGAGAATGATCAGATCTCAAGGATGTGGGTTCTTGCTAAACTGACTTAGCAAGGTTCTTTGCTAAATGGATTCTACGAGGCAGTGCACAGCTGGGTCTAGGAGAAGGTTCAGAAGCCTGACTAAAGTTTCGCGAAGCAAATAATGTTTAACACTTAAAACAGACGGGACTTCGTTAATCTGACTCAGGTGGACTGGAATCTCCTCTTTTTAGAAAAAAACTGGTCTGTTTGGGGGATCTGTTTCCATAAAGTATCAGTTTGATTTTATGGCATTTGGCATGAGTGACTATTTTGGTTTGGTTTGCTGCGTTAGGGCCTAGTGCAAGAGATCAATCTGAAACGATAGCTTCTCATATTTTTTGTTTAACAAATTCAACTCTAAAACCGAATTCTGGCCAGGTGCACTGACTCATGCCTGTAATCCCAGGCTGAGGGGGGCAGATCACCTGAGGTCAGGAGATCGAGACCAGCGAGACCAACATGGAGAAACCCTGTCTCTACTAATACAGAATTAGCTGGGCGTGGTGGTACATGCCTGTCATCCCAGCTACTCAGGAGGCTGAGGCAGGAGAATTGCTTGAACCCGGGAGGCAGAGGATGTGGTGAGCCAAGATCGCACCATTGCACTCCAGCCGGAATAACAAGAGCAAAAGTCCGTCTCAAAAAAAAAAAAAATTCTATGAAATTGTATTGGTGAATAGTGGGAGGATGGGTTCAGTTTTGAAGGTAATAATCACATCAATCTCTCATGTGAATTCTGTCAGGAAAAAGTATAAACAAGTTTCGAATGGGGGAAAAAGATTCCTGGGTACTTTGTCAAGGGCATTTTTCATTGATTTTGTGTTATCTTACAACTCTTCAAATTACAGAAAATTGAGAATAGTCGAAATGATTTTCATCCATAGAAATACAAATGAACTATGTTCAGTGGAATGCAATTGATCATTGCTCTGAATATTGACAGGTTTTTAAAAAATCTATTGGGTTGGGCGTGGTGGCTCACATAATCGCAGCACTTTGGGAGGTTGAGGCGGATGGATCACTTGAAGCCAGGAGTTCGAGACCAGCCAGGCCAACAAACCCTGTCTCTACTAAAAATACAAATAAATAAATAAAATCTGGGCATGGTGTCGCACCCCTGTAATTGCAGCTACTCAGGAGGCTGAGGCAGGAAAATTGCTTGAAACTGGGAGGTGGAGGCTGCAGTGAGCTGGGACCGTGCCCTGAATTCCAGCTTGGGCAAAAGAGCATGACTCTGTCTCAAAAATAATAATAAAAAGAATAGACTCTTTAAGTCTAATAAGAAAAATTTACAATCTATTTTCTCTGAAGCCTGCTACCTGGAGGTTTTATCGGTGTGACAAAAGCTTGGTCTTCACAACCCTTTGTCACACTACTTTCTGTTGATAATAACTCTTTCAACCAATTGCCAATCAGAAAGTCTTGTAATCTAGCAATGCTTGGAAGCACCCCCACTTTCAGTTGTTTTGCATTTCCAGAGCAACCCGATGTATTGACTGATGTCTCACATCTCCTTGAAATGTATAAAGCCAAGTTGTAGCCAAAACACCGTGGGCACATATTCTCAGGATTTCCTGAGGGCTGTGTCACAGGCCATTGTTCATTCACATTTGGCTCAGAATAAGTCCTTTCAAATATTTTACAGAGTTTGACTCTTTTCATTGACAACATTAACACCACCCAAAAGAGAAACGTGAGCCAAAGAAGGTAAAAACTCTTAACACTTACTTAATCATTCCTCTTCCTATGGGAAAAGCAAAGGATAGGTGGAAAACGTGCTGAAGTATCTTCTTGATTATTCCAAGAGGCATCTGTAAAATGGGAAGGATAAAGTTCCTCTTAAAGAGTAGTTTTGTAAAATTCTGCAACTTTATTTTTTTCTAATAATAGAGATGGGGTTTCACCATCTTGGCCAGGCTGGTCTTGAACTCCTGACCTCATGATCTACCCACCTCAGCCTCCCAAAGTGCTGGGATTACAGGCATGAGCCAGCATGCCCAGCCTCTGTAACTATTTTTTAACAAAAATTAACTTTTTTTTTTTTTTTCCCGAGACAGGTTATTGCTCTGTCATCTAGGCTGGAATACAATGATGTGATCACAGCTCACTGCACCCTCCACCTCCGGGGCTCACATGATTGATTCTCCTACCTCAGCTTCCCAAGTAACTGGGACTACAGACATGCACCACCACTCCTGGCTAATTTTTTATTTTTCTTTCTTTCTTTCTTCTTTTTTTTTTTTTTGTTGTAGAGATGGAGTCTTACTATGTTGCCCAGGCTGGCCAATGATCCTCCCACGTCGGCCTACCAAAGTGGTGGGATTATAGGCATAAACCACTATTCCCAGCCTAAAATTAACCTTTTAAAATCTAATATAACAGTCTTAGAAAAGTCATTTATGGCAGCATCCTTGCTTTTTCTCCTCTATAAATTAACAGGAGAAGCAGCTCCTATCTATTCGTCCTCCTCCTCATACTATCTTACTTTTTCTAACTCACCTGGGTCTCCAAAAGGAACTGTAATTTTTTATAGGGTCATCAAAGGTACACTTAGCTGCTCATTTGAACAAATCCTCATTAGGGCAGTGGCTGTACATGAACATGTTATATTATGCCCTGTACTTTTATGTATTTAATAATCATAATAGAAATGTCATGACAATTAGTTTCATTTCTCTGACACAAGCTTTTAACTTTCATTTCATACCTCACCCTCCCACAGTTAAGTATGGCAGGAATCTGGGACAGTTTGGAAGTACTGTACTTAAAACTATTTGGTTCAGGGGCCGGGCGCAGTGGCTCACCCCTGTAATCCCAGCACTTTGCAAGGCTGAAGCGGTGGATCACTTCAGGTCAGGAACTCGAGACCAGCCTGGGCAACATACGCCAGGTTCCTGCCAATGAATTTTTGATTACGTTTGGGAGAAGGTACAGTTTTCCTATTTCATTCAGTGGTTTAATGGTACTCAATGTTGACTGAAGAGACAACACGGTAATGATGAGATGTCAAAACGAGTGTGAATGTGCGTAATTTATGAAAGGCATTTTTGAGGACTAGTTACATGAATTTTGAGAAAATAGGAGAGCAGAGAACCTGTGTAAGATTTTTAAGCAGACTGCACTGTCATGAGCCATAGGGTTGTGAGGCTGGGAGGAAAGCGCTTCCGGAAGTATCCAAGGGGAGGGCGTGGATCTGGCACACTGCGTGTCAGCCTGGTCGAGGATAGCCCCTCCTCTCCATTCCCTCGGCCAGGCCGGAAGCTACCTGGGTCCCGAATCTCGCTACTTCCGGATTATCTCGCCTTGCAGCACAGAGACCAACCGCTACTCATCTCTGCCTTTTATTGACTGTGTTTTGCCTCAAATCTCGCGGCTTCGTAAAAATATCGCGATACTTCCGCTTTTAATGTTTTCAGTTTGGACAATCACTTTGAGAAAAATTTTAAAGCCGATTCCTAAAAATACACGTTAGTGGTTGTTGATGCCTACTGCTGAGATCAAGATATCTTAAAGAGGGAGGAAAAGAACAAAACGAATGTGTCAGAAGTGGGATTCGAACCCACGCCTCCATTGGAGACCAGAATCCCCAGCACCGGGAAGCTCAGCTTGAGTCTGGCGCCTTAGACCACTCGGCCATCCTGACACGCTGTAAAACAAGCGCGATTTTTTTGATAATATAGAGATCAACGAGCACTGTGTCTGTGACGCGCACGCAGAAACGCGATGACGTCATGTTGCTTGGTAACGGAAGAAAAAGCCACCTGTGGATTGAAACCGGAAGAGACTATGGAGCTGCAGAAAATGTTTATGCGTAAAACTGGGTCAAGTCTCTGACGGGCCTTACGACTGTCATCCCCATCTCGAAAAACGCGTGCAAATGTGTTTTATTGCGCGCAGCCTGCCAGGTTTCGGGAAGGAAAGGCCCTCTTGTGTCTGGTCGCTGTGTCGGCTCTCCAGCGCCTGCTGTTGTCTCAAATCCTGACGGTACTCAGCGACCCCCAGGACTTAATTCTTGGGAAGACGGTGAGGAGCAAAACAAAACCCTGACCACAGACCCCTCGCTATGCAGGGTCCACTTTTATCTAGCTCCTGCATTCTGGCCCCGTGTCACCGCCTTGCCGTTGGTCTGTGTCTTGGGCTCTGAAAATGGCGGCCGGGAAGGTCCGTGCAGGGGCCGTCGGTGCAAGGCCGGTGTCAGGGCCGAGGATCTGCGTCCCAGGTTCGGGAAGCTCCGGGAGCCACGCGCTCTCCCGCGGCCTTCCTGCTCGCTCTCGGAAGTTCCCGATTCACGGGCTCCAACGTGTCCACTGCCCGGCACATTTTAATAGGTAAAAAATAACAAGGTCTTTTTTTTTGTAGAGACGGGGTTTCACCATGTTGACCAGGATGGTCTCGATCTGTTGACCTCGTGATCCACCCGCCTCGGCCTCCCAAAGTGCTGGGATTATAGGCGTGAGCCACCGCGCCCGGCCAAGGCCTTTTTTTTTTTTTGAGACGGAGTTTCGTTCTTGTTACCAAGGCTGGAGTGCAATGGCGCGATCTCGGCTCACCGCAACTTCCGCCTCCTGGGTTCAGGCAATTCTCCTGCCTCAGCCTCCTGAGTAGCTGGGATTACAGGCACGCGCCACCATGCCCAGCTAATTTTTTGTATTTTTAGTGGAGACGGGGTTTCACCATGTTGACCAGGATGGTCTCGATCTCTTGACCCCGTGATCCACCTGCCTTGGCCTCCCAAAGTGCTGGGATTATAGGCGTGAACCACCACACCCGGCCCAATAAGGCCTTTTTAAAAAATTAAATTAAAATTATCCACTATCTCACTAGTCAGAGGTAACGATTAACATTTTTATAGTCTTTGATATGGCATACATTTTTTTCAAAAAAAAGGGTCATGTGTGGTACGTAATTTGCAAACTTGTTTTTAAAACGAATATATTATGAACATATATATTTGCTAAATACTATAGATATTTTGTATAAATCTTAATAACTGCTCCCGGCACATTTTAATAGGTGAAAAAAAAGGACTTTTTTTTTTTTTTTTTTGAGACGGAGTTTGCTCTTGTTACCCAGGCTGGAGTGCAATGGCGCGATCTCGGCTCACCGCAACCTCCGCCTCCTGGGTTCAAGCAATTCTCCTGCCTCAGCCTCCTGAGTAGCTGGGATTAGAGGCACACGCCACCATGCCCAGCTAATTTTTTGTATTTTTAGTAGAGACGGGTTTCACCATGTTGACCAGGATGGTCTCGATCTCTTGACCTCGTGATCCACCCGCCTCGGCCTCCCAAAGAATTTTTGTATTTTTAGCAGAGACGGGGTTTCACCTCGTTGACCAGGATGGTCTCCATCTCTTGACCTCGTGATCCACCCGCCTAGTCCTCCCAAAGTGCTGGGATTACAGGCGTGAGCCACCGCGCCTGGCCTAGGACCTTTTTTTTTTTAATTTAAATTACCCACTATCGCACTAGTCAGTTCCCGATTCAAGGGCTCCATCATGTCCACTGCCAGGTCGGGGACACGGCGGTAGTTTCTAAGCGCCTACCCACTTTTTCCAGCTGTTCCTTAGCCTTTGCCAAGCAATCCAAGCTCCAAGCCAGGAAGTCCCGAGGTCGCAAACTTCAGTGGAGGCCTGAAACTAAACAGAAATGACTCCTTCAGGTAGAACAGAGTCCGAGAGGCCCGGGACACTGCTAAAATAACGTGTGCAGACCAACACCGCCCAGGTGGCAGTGCCTGGCAAACACGGTACAGGTGCAATACATGTATTTTAACTCAACCGTCATAACTCTTGTATTTGGGGCTGTGAAATTCAGATAGAGGAAATATAAAGTTGGATGTTTTAATTAGATTTTGTCCCAATAGGTTACTTTCTGTGTTTATTAATAACATAAAACATTTTCCTTTTCCTTTTTGTAAGGCAAAGCTTAGGTCTTTCTGCATGGAAAATAGCCTGAGTTTCAGTAGGCTCTATCTTAATTTCCACAGACTTTCTTTGTTTCATATCTTATTTTTGATAAAGACAAAGTTAGTCGTGAGAATAACAGTGAAGACTGGTTCCCCAGCCTCCCTCCAACACATGAAATTTCTATATTTTCTTTCGATTGGAAGGAAGTTGTCCAGGAAGTGATTCCCAACTTGACAACTGTAATCCCCTAACTATTCATACTACTTTTTTCTAATTGCATAGTACACACAAATTGTAGAACAAACAGACATGCCAAGATTAAAATTATCCACTGTCTCACTAGTCAGAGGTAACTATTACATTTTTATATAGTCTTTCATATGGCATACATTTTTTCCAGAAAAATGGTCATGCGTAGTACATAATTTGCTAACTTGCTTTTTAAACGAATATATGATGAACGTATATATTTGCTAAGTACTATAGATATCTTGTATAAACTTAACAGCAGATATTCCATATCAAACTGGTGTTCTTGAATACTGGATTCTAATTTTTTATTTTCATGAGCAATGCTGTAAAAACTATCCTTGCATAAGTATTTCCAAACATCCGTAATTATTTCCTTAACTTTCTAGAAGTGAAAACAGTATATCAATGTTTATCCAGTTTTTTGCTGTCGTTGTTTTGAGATGGAGTTTCTCTCCTGTTGCCCAGACTGGCCCAGCTAATTTCGTGTTTTTAGTAAAGACAGGGTTTCTCCGTGTTGGCCAGGCTGGTCTTGAATTCCCGACCTCAGGTGATCTGGCCCCTCTTGGCCTCCCAAAGTGCTGGGATTGCAGATGTGAGCCACCGCGCCCAGCCTGTTTATCAAGTTTTTAAAACTTTATTTAATATATACTGTCCAACTGCCTGCCAAAAAACAAACAATGAAGCAATTTACATACCCCAAACCTAACACCCAACATTAGTGATTATATGTTTGTTTGTTTTGAGACTGAGTCTTGCTCTGTTGGCTAGGCTGGAGTGCAGTAGCGTAATCTTGACTCGCTGCAACCTCCGTCTTCTGGGTTCAAGTGATTGTCCCAACTCAGCCTCCCGAGTAGTTTAGGATTACAGGCGCGCGTCAGCACGCCTGGCTAATTTTTGTATTTTTAGTAGAGATGGGGGTTTCACCATGTTGGCTAGGCGTTTCGAACTCCAGACATCAGGTGATCCGCCTTGGCCTCCCAAAGTACTGGGATTACAACTGTGAGCCACCAAGCCCGGACATAATTTTATGTTTGAAATGGTTTCAAGTTCTCTTGAAATAAGGTAAAGTATAATTAAATATGTAAATATTTTAAACTATTTATTACACAATAAGACTCCCCATAGGAGTCTTTTTTTTTTTTTTTGAGACTGAGTCTTGCTCTGTTGCCAGGCTGGAGTGCAGTGGTGGGATCTTGGCTCACTGCAACCTCTGCTTCACGTGTTCATGCGATTCTCCTGCCTCAGCTTCCCGAGTAGCTGGGATTATAGGTGCAAGACACCACACCCCAGCTAATTTTATATTTTGTAGAGATGGGATTTCACCATGTTGGTCAGGCCGGTCTTGAACTGCTGACCTCAGGTAATCTGCCACCTCTGCCTCCCAAAGTGCTGGATTACAGGTGTGAGCCACCAAGCTCAGACACGATTTTATGTTTTAAATGGTTTTAAGTCCTTTTTGGAATAAGGTAAAATATAATTAAATATGTAAATATTTTAACTATTTACTAATAATATTTATTACACAATAAAACTCCCCATGGGCCTTTTTTTTTTTTTTTTGACAGTCTCTCTCTGTCACCAGGCTGGAATGCAGTGGCAGGATCTCAGCTGACTGCAACCTCCTCATGTGTTCACGGGATTCTCCTGCCTCAGATGGCTGAGTAGCTGGGGTTACAAGCGCAAGACACCATGCCCAGCTAATTTTATATTTTTAGTAGGCATGGGGTTTCACCACGTTGGCCTGGATTGTCTCCATCTCTTGACCTTGTGATCCGCCCGCCTTGGCCTTCCAAAGTGCTGGGATTTTCTACATTTTAATGGAAACATCAGCAAGAGGAATTTTAAAAGGCCTGACAAATTATTTAAAGAGGGAATCGGGGTAATAAAAAGGAAAGAAGCTGACCGTGGTGGTCTATGACAATGAAGAAAAAAAAACAGGATTCACTTTCCAACCTTGAAATGAGTCCCTTGACTGTTTTGTGTGAGGCTTATATAACTAGATTTCCTGGCCAGGCGCAGTGGCTCACACCTGTAATCCTAGCACTTTGGGAGGCTGAGGTGGGTGGATCACCTGAGGTCAGGAGTTCAAGACCAACCTGGCCATCATGGTGAAACCCCACCTTTAATAAAAAAAAAATAATAACTAGATTTCCTGTTATGTCCAGGATTACTTGAGATTAACAGGGACAGGTGGAAATTGAGATGAGGCTATATTTAATTGAGATTGACTGTAAATTGGTAGTTGTTGAAGTTGGGAGATGATATAGGAGGGTTTGCTGTATATTTTCTTCCTTTTTGTGTATGCTTATTATTATTATTATTATTATTTTTTGAGATCGAGTTTCGCTCTTGTTGCCCAAGATGGAGTGCAATGGCGCGATCTCAGCTCACTGCAACCTCCGCCTCCTGGGTTCAAGCAATTCTGCCTCAGCCTCCTGAGTAGCTGGGATTACAGCCACGCGCCACCATGCCCGGCTAATTTTTGCATTTTTAGTAGAGACAGGGTTTCACCATGTTGACCAGGATGGTCTCGATCTCTTGACCTTGTGATCCACCTGCCTCAGCCTCCCAAAGTGCTGGGATTACAGGCGTGAGCCACCACGCCCGGCTCGTGTATGCTTAAAGATTTACATAGTGAAGAGTTCATTCAACACAGAAAAAAAGAAAATCACCAAGTCTCATTGAAAGCGCCTATGTTAATATTTTGGCATATTTCTTCCCAGTTTTTAAGGAAATATGTAAGTTGAAATCTTTCTAAATTAGTATTTCTCACTTTTTTCTCTTACATTCCTTTTGTGCCTCAGAACCCTGACTTGGGTTTGGCAATCACGTCCCATACAAATCCAAGTCCTGCACATCCTCTGAACAAAGAATCTGGCAGAGATGCATTTATCTGAAAAGGATACCTTCAAATGTCCTGCTTACATTTCAAACATCAAAATGCAAAATTAATTCAGCAGATAAGCCAGTCCTAAAAACAGATCTTTCCCTGTTTTTCTCCAACAGGGAAAGAGGAAACATAATGGGCAATACTGCCAAGTCCAAGTCCTGTTTGGCCTGGCATGGTGGCCCATGCCTGCAATCCCAAAACGTGGGGAGGCTGAGGAGGGAGAATCCCTTGAGCCCAGGAGTCTTAGGCTGCAGTGAGTGATGATCTCACCACTGCACTCCAGCCTGGGTGACAAAGTGAGACCGTTTTGCTAATGCTGATTTGGATGGGATTTATTATCCCTATAGGCTTCATATAGGAGGAACTTCTGCAACATAGTGCAGGATCTAGTAAGTTACTTACATAATTAAGTCAAAATTTATTGCAGGACCGAGCTGGTGGGCAAGTCTCTTAGTGTCAAGAAAAAGGGCACTAAGAAACAGCCCCAGCATTCTGGCTTCCTCTTAAATTACTGTGGTCTGCATTGAGGGCCCCTGGACCCCAAGTTTCGCTTCTCCCCAAATCATCTTTAGTTGTCCTCTACCTTTTTTCACGTTAGCCTCCCCCTCTCCTAATTGGCTAACTTTTCAAAGGACAGAAGCCATGTTCTCTTGTATTCTCTTCAGGAGCAAGTTCAGCTGGGGCACCCAACACTGGCTAATTGTCTATTTGAATAAAAGAAAGTCTTTCATTTGTGGAAAAAGCAGTTCACTCACCACTGGTATACTAAGAACATTTTGAGTTTTGGGTTTGTATTTTGCTGGGAGGAGACAGGCGATTTCCATCTATACTCTTTGGTCTGGATCTCCGATAACTAAAGGCATTAGCACATGGCTCTCATTTACCATCTGATAGCTATTTGCTCTTAATTTCACAGTGCCTTAAGTGTGAGGCACTTACATGCATTCTCTCATCTTCTCACTTAATTATACATGGTGGAGGGTAGAGGCCATGCTCAGTTTCCCTTTGTTCTTTGGACCTATCTCTTCTAGGCCTTGTCTGCTCTTCGGGAAGATGGTCTTCTTTGCATGTTGGCCTGTATCGGAAAAAACAAGAGCACCTAAAGGCACACAGGCATGTGCACATGCATGCACGCAGATACACACTTCCTGGAACAGCAAAACAATTAAGGAGGAGTCATTGAAACCCTAATGTATAATTTTTTTTTTTTTTGAGATGGAGTTTTGCTGTTGTTACCCAGACTGGAGTGCAATGGCACGATCTCGGCTCACTGCAACCTCCGCCTCCTGGGTTCAGGCAATTCTCCTGCCTCAGCCTCCCGAGTAGCTGGGACTACAGGTGCGCACCACCATGCCCAGCTAATTTTTGTATTTTTAGTAGGGACGGGGTTTCACCATGTTGACCAGGGTGGTCTCGATCTCTTGACCTCATGATCCACCCGCCTCGGCCTCCCAAAGTGCTGGGATTATAGGTGTGAGCCACCTGGCCCGAAACCCTAATGTATAATTAACAATTGCAGATGTTTTGAGGAAAGAGAGGAACTAGAAGAATCAGGGTGCGCCCCGTATCTTCCTTTAGTGATTCAATTCATGGACTTATGAACTCAAAAGTGGCTTACCTTTCTGCAGACGAGTAGACTTAAAATCACAAGTTCATTTAACCCGATTCAAAATGGCAGGCTTTTAAAACTAAAAATAAATACCGATTAACACACCAGGCACATGAACTAGAAGATAACCAGTAACACCTGTCAACCTATGCCGTCTCCTCTGTCCCATCTCCCCTCACTCCATAGGTAACCGTGCTATTCTTCCTGTTATAAAGGGCATTATAAAGTATAGGTCTTCTGAGACTTTTTTCACTAGGCACTGTTAGTGAAATTCTTCGTCCTCATAGGTATATCCCCATTCAAATTGCAAGAAACTTTCTTGAATCCAACAAGATTGTTTATCACTGGTCCAGCTGATGCTGCTCCTAAAGCACTAGGTCTCCTGGGAATAAAATAGACCCAGTGTGGGATTCTCTAAGTAGCTTGGAGCGAGCTCTGTCACTGGGCAGCAACAACCGAAGGGCCATCCCAAGAGCATGTTTCTTTGGACTGATGCCAGGTGTCCTCTTTGTAAGCCTTTATTCTTGCTCCCTGTCCCAACTGACTAAATGAAGTGGTAGGTGATTTTGAATAGGACTCTTCACCCCATTTTCCAGTGGCAGATCCTCAAGTTTAGAGTAGACGCTGTTACAAGCTAGACTTCCTGGGTCAGTGGACTGGTACTCCAAGGCTTCCAGTCTCTGCTCTGCCTCTTCTCTGCAGAGAGCATCAGCTATACAGTGCGGTCACGTCTCAGTTTGAATCCTGGCTCTGCTGCTTCCTAGCTGTGTATCTTGCATAAGCCATTTACCCTCTGCTGCATTTTCTTCATCTGTAAAGGCAACAGTACACACCTGATAGTTATCATGAGCATTAAATCAGTGCTGTGCATAAAGCTCTTCATATGCTGTGCCAAGCACTGCTCTGTTAATAGTATTTATGTACCTGTATTTATATTACCATATACATGTAGATCTCAGAGTATTCAACAAAAGCTAACCTAGCCTCATGGAGGCTGCTTTCCATAGCCCTGGTTCTATTATTTCCCTTAAAACCTGATGAATAAATGAAGAATTAGGATACGCTATCATCAATTCATGAACCTCAGCCATGGAAATCCAATGTCTGGCACAGTATTTACAAAAAGGACTTGAGAAAATACTTTCCTAGTAAAACTACAGGATTAACCAGTGTAAGAACCGTGGCCTATGGATGTCCAACACCACTAGAACATAGTGCCGTGGTACCGAGAAGGTAGTTTTATTTTCCAGTTTGAAGTAAACTGTTGGCCAGAATGGAATTTTTGGACCCATCTGGGAAAGTGACAGCATTAACCGTTTCCTCCCATACCCATTCCAACATCTGAACGCCATCCTACCAACATCCAGAAAGCAACAACATAAACATCCATATTCACTTTATTTTTAAACAGAAGAGCATGTACCCAAAGAGAAGCAGGACTGAGAACCAACACGGGGGCTTGCTGGAAGGGATCCGCCCCAGCCTTCTGACTTCAGAGTGTCTCAAGCTCCAGTGGCCATGGGGATGGAGCTGCCCCTTGATATGCACTTTAGAAAGGTCAATTTCCCCATCCCCCAAAAGAAACGGAGAAAAAGAGGTAAGAGGTCAATGAATCCCTGGAAGACTGTCCCAGCATCCTTTCAGGGATGGTGTATGACCGACCGCCAGTCCACAAATCTGACTGGTAAGGGATTTAGTAACACCAAATGGAGCTGGGCAGAGTATCAGCCTGGATGACATACACCCAGCACTAGAATACACCTTTCATTAGAACGAAGGGAGCAAAGCCCTCAGAAAAGATACAAAGGCAGAGACATTGATTAGAACATTATCTCATAACACAGGTGGGGGCCATTACCCACTGTTATTGTAAAAGAACTGTAACTAACCAAAACACATATAGGCTTCTTTAATGGAGTTAGTAAAACTATGGCAGGTTGGGAATCGGGGCAAAGGTACTGTTCCCAGGTGGAAAAACTGGGAGAAAGGGAGCCGTGCGGATAGGGCCTTGTTCCAGTCTAGGCTGTCAGAGAGGAGCCCTAGCCCAGAATGACAGCAAATAGCCATGATCATTATGTGGGGCTGAACCAGAGGAAACCAGGCTGAGCCAAGAAGGTGTGAGTATCTTGAATGGCTCTCCAAATGCAAAGATTATCCATACTCTTTATCCCCTCCATCAAGTGTAAAACCGGAAAGTGTGACACACTGGAGGTGGACATCTGGATACGTCTCACGGCATCTCACAATCTGCATGGAGGGAAGAGGGTGGGAGAACATGGACATCCTCTCTCCCACTGCAAGGGTGTTGATGGGTAAGGAGACCCATCTGTAATAGGACGTGGCAAGGCAACAGGATGCCTCGTGCCTGGCGTAGGATTTCAGCCAACAGCCCTTTTGGCCTGAATTCACCTCAAGGGGAGGTCTCCATGGAATGACCGTGATTCCCAACATGGCCAGAAAACCCATCTATCCCACTCATGGGGCAGATGATGAGAGGAGCTGCGCTTTTCCCTCCCGAGTAACTGAGGCTGAAGTAGGGCCGCACAGGCCCACAGAAGGTAGCGTGAGAGAAAGTGAAGGTGTGACACCTTTCTGTCACGTTGTAGAAGGAGACCTCACCAGCATCATAGTCCAAGAAGACCCCCACCCGCTGGAGAGGGGTCCGCAGGGGGAGGGCAGTCATTGGGGAGGTAAGAGCCCAGTATTCCTTCCCATACCACAAGGACACTGCCCAGAATCCGTTCTGGGGGGCCGAGGTTACGCCGCCTTTTCTGCACACTGAGTCTTCACAGACACCTATGGTCCACTTGGCTTTATCTCCCACCTCTACCTCCCAATAATGTCTCCCAGCGATGAAGCATGGCGAGCCCAAGACACAGGGAAACAGATTGAACCGCTCGGGGTTGTCAGGCAGGTCCTGCTGGAGGTAGCTGTACCGGACTTGCCGCAGATTGTCAGAGAGGATCAGGCTGGGGTAGGCCGTGTCTGGGTCCAGAGTCACGTCCACTGTGGAGACACAAAGAGGGGTCAGCTGCAGGCCAGGAGAGCCTACGCTAGAACATCCAGCCTTCTTCTACCTCCACAAGAACAAGAGCTTCCCACGAGAGGCTGCGCTCATTTTATTTAAAACATATTCTAAACTTCACATTTTAAAAACGACTGCTTGGATCAGCTGGTTCCCAGGATACGCTGAAAGTACTGAGTTTTAGCCCCACAGCTGAAGCCACAACATCCATTATGAACTGCGTTTAAGAGATCGGGTCTTGCTCTGATGCCCAGGCTGGAGTGCAGTGGTGTGGTCATAGTTCATTGTAACCCCAAATTCCTGGGCTCAGAGGATCCTCCCGCCTAAGACTCCCAAGTACCTGGGACCATAGGCGTGTACTACCACCCTGGCTAATTTTTAAAAACTTTTTGTAGAGATGGGAGGTCTCACTGTGTTGTCCAGGATGGTCTTGAGCTCTGGGTTCCAAGCAATCCTCCTATCTCAACCTCCCAAAGCAATGGGATTACAGACATGAGCCACGGTGCCTGGCAGATACACTGAATTGAGGTTTTCTTACATGTTCACCAACACTTATTCTGAAAACTTCAGGGGCCCTAAGTTTCACAGAATGCAGAATATTACAGGTTTTAGACAGGCAGGGTCTGGCACAGTATTCTATAATGAAATATTAATAGATCTGCTGTGAGGTCCATGCATGTTTACCTCATGAAGGAGGACTCTGAATAGCGCCACACAATTTCAGGTTTTGATACTGTAATTTCCTATAAAATAATGAAAACGCTTTCGACTGTTAGAGATTTGGGATTTTCGAACTGTGGGCAAGGGACTGGGAACCTGTATCAGTATGCTCACCTTTCAAATCACTCTTTTTTTATATTTCTTTTACTTTCTGTTTTTTGAGATGAAGTCTCACTCTGTCACCCAGACCGTAGTGCGGTGCCATAATCATGGCTCACTGCAGACTTGATCTCCTGGGCTCCAGCAATCCTCTCATTCCGGCCGCCCAAAGTGTTAGGAGTACAGGTGTGAGCCACTCCACCCAGCCCAAATCACTCTTATCCATTCTGGAAGATTTTTACTCTGCACATCCAAGCCCTATTCATCTTCTTCTAATGTCCAGTGCAAGACACACATCCTCCAAGTTTTTCTCCATCTCCCCAGGCCATTACATCCTTCCCGTTCCAAAATCTAAAACTGTGTGTATGACCCATGTCGTCTCCTCGGGCATTTAGTATCACAACATCTTGCTATCATCAAGTTTTTTCTCAATTCAGAAGCACTGATTGGGGCTGGGTGTGCAGCTCATGCCTGTAATCTCAGCACTTTGGGAATCTGAGGCAAGAGGATCACTTGCGTACAGGAGTTTGAGACCAGCCTGGGCAGCATAGTGAGACCCAGTCTCTACAAAAAATAAAAGTAAATTAGGCAAACATGGTGGTGGCATGCTTATAATCCCAGCTACTCAGAAGGCTGAGGCAGGAGGATCGCTTGAACCCTGGAGTCTGGGGCTGCAGTGAGCTATGACCTCGGCATACCAGCCTGGGCAACAGAGAACCCACCTCTAAACTGAATAATAAAAATGTTAAAAATTAAAATAATAAATAAAGACAATGACATGTATTCTCTCATTTGCACTCCGCATCTTGTTCAGGAGGAAGATTACCAAATATTACCTCTCAGAAATTTAAGCCCACCAATTTTGACTCCCACAGAAGACAGGCAACTTGGTTACCTCTGTAACCAAGAACCCCAGAACCCTTAGTTCCTGGTTCAATAATCTGTCTACCACAGCTGCCTACCTCGTTCTTGTGCCATGTGTACACCTCCAGACAGACAATGTAAACCCCAAGAGTAGGATGTTGTAGGCTCTTCTGCTCCTCTAAGATACCCTGCACAATGTTAGGCAGTGCAGGACACAAGCGAGGTACTCGGGAAATACTCGCTGAACGAATTAAATAAGGATCAGAGCCAGTGCCCACCAAGGACTGAAGATCCACTGTATGTAGAGTTCTTCTCTTCATGAAGAGGACGCTTCGGAACAGAAGGCGGCTCTGTGACTGTGGGAGGAATACGCCTTTGATCTGAGGACTTCCGCAATGTTAAATTTTCCCAGGCTCTGCCGTAGGGTGAAAATGGTCGAGGGGGAAGGGCAGGTTCAAACTTTCCCTGAGGCACAGTGATGGGATGACACAAGACTCCTAGACTCTCTCTAGCACTCAGAGTATCAGTGGAGCGGAGCTTAGTCAGTCCTGCTTGTCACACACTGTGGTTCCTGAAGCTGGGCAGGCAGAGCGGTGCAGTCTTGCACCAGCTCTGTTCTGCTTTTGGAGAACTGCAGTTTCCACCCTGTAATCCTTCTTTAACACCTGAGGTTGATTTTACCCTATGGCTTCAGCTCTGACAAAGTTACTATAAACACATAGAAACAACTGTGGATTTCTGTAGATCTTTATACATGTAACCTAAAAAATCCACTTTAAGCCATTTCCAAATCATTCATAATGGCAGTTCGGTTCCCAAGGATTTTTACTCTTTGCCCTAATATGGTTTTGTCTCTCATCACCTACCTGAGTATAATTGAGCCTCTCTTAATTCTGAAAGAACAAACGAGAAAAGTTACAGAAGTCATGAGTGTTTCCAGGAAATACACAACTGAAGGAGCTCTGGTTAGTCATCATAAAGCAGCGGTCTCCACTAGAAACCCCAGAACTCTGCTGTCAGTCAGGCACTGATTTCTTCATATGGTCTGTGGCTCTACCATCCAACCAAAAGCTTGAAGGGGAGAGAGACTGAACCTCGGGTAGAGGGATAACCACATGCCTGAGACTGATAGAACATGAGACCAAACTGAGCCAAAATCAAGAATTCCACCCTCCAGTGAGTCAGCTGGCTTTGCAGAGGGAAACACAGCTGCAACCTCATATCACACATTAACGTTTGTTTCATAACTCAGCTGCGTTTGAGAGCTGAACGGCTCAAGTGACACTGACACTCCAGGGCAAACATGACCGTTCCTTTGTAGGGCACGTTTTAGGTGAAGCAGAACTTTTCAGACGTTATCCCACTAAGCCTTTTAAGTGGCTAGAAAAGAAGGAAGATCAAGGAAAGTCACACCTGAACTAACCACGTCTGGTATTATCCACTGTATCAAGCGCAGTTTCTCCCCATTTGTCTTGCTTGTAGAGGACGTGTATCTGCTACATCTGTTACCAGATGCCTCAAAAGTATCTGAGCAGGTGCAATGCAAGTAAGAGCTCAGCATATACATTACAGAAAATTATTAAACATTATGGAAGTTTGTTATTTGTAATAATTAAGAAAAGCGTTTACCTACATATAAGGATTTCAGGGCCGGGCGTGGTGGCTCACGCCTATAATCACAGCACTTTGGGAGGCCGAGGCGGGTGGCTCACGAGGTCAAGAGATCAAGACCGTCCTGGACAACATGGTGAAACCCCCGTCTCTACTAAAAATACAAAAATTAGCTGGGCATGGTGGTGCGCACCTGTAGTCCCAGGTACTCGGGAGGCTGACGCAGGAGAATTGCTTGAACCCAGGAGGCGGAGGTTGCAGTGAGCCGAGATGGCGCCATTGCACTCCAGCCTGGGTAACAACCGCGAAGCTCCGTCTCAAAAAAAAAGGATTTCAGAATCCACCAGACTGCCCAGGAATTTTAGAATTCAATATATGGCCAACCCTTTACTGAATGTGGATCGTGAGCAGAAGAATTTAAATTTGGAGAAACTTCTCCAAATGCCTAGAACACCTTATTTAATAAACTCACATATGGGACTTATGTGTCTAGTTGTATTCTACAAGTGTTAGAAATGTAACCCTATTCTTGTATCTTAGGAGGTAAGAACTATTATTGTCCTCATGTTACGATGAGAAAACTGCCTGTAGAATCCTTACTAAGTGGTACAGCTGGGCCCAGAGCCCAGGCGGCTGGACTCCTGACTGCCCGCTCCTAAGCATGTGCCCGTCAGCACGGCTCAGTTCCTCCTACAGGAGCTGGCGCTTGTGCCCACAAGCAGTAGGAACTCAGTAAATTACAAAGATAAATACTGGCTCAAGTAACCAGGACAGATTTTGTTCATACTCTTTCCTGAAAAATCAAATTAATTGTGGATTAATTTTTGGGTGGCTGATTTTTTTGCCTCCATCAATGCAGACTGAGAACTGACTAAATACAGTTAACAGGCTGTTAACTGAGAAAATTAAGGCCACAGGGAAGAAGTGAAACATCAGGGAAGGCTGGCCAATGGGTAGCAGCCTTATCCCATTTTCCGCACTTTCAGTGCAGATGTTCTTTCCAAGCAACTTTACATCAAAAGCCCAGGAGGTAGATAAATTTACCTTGGATTTTCTCCATATCGGACTGCATTTTTTCTAGGAAAAGAAAACAAGAAAATATTCAGTTTGCATCCCACTATCTGGCTGGAAAATATATCTTTTCATCAGGGAATATGCAGACATTGAGTATAAATCCGTCTCCCTCATGACATCTCCCCGCACGTTACCTGTGAACTGCTTTAGCCCTTCCGTCAAGAAGAGACATTTTTGGGCAAAAATGTGGATTTTCTCTTGCAAATCTGGAGGCGTGATCCAAGGTTCAGGAATCCTGATTCTTTCAGCCCTAAATTGAAAAAATGTGAGTAAATAAATTATTTTCCTCAATTCCATGACCTTCTAAGAACCAGGACTGCCTAAGCTAAACTGTCCAGCACAGATGGACAGTCTTTTTTTTTTTTTTTTGAGACGGAGTTTCGCTGTTGTTTCCCAGGCTGGAGTGCAATGGTGCGATCTCGGCTCACCGCAACCTCCACCTCCTGGGTTCAGGCAATTCTCCTGCCTCAGCCTCCAGAGTAGCTGGGACTACAGGCGCACACCACCATGCCCAGTTAATTTTTGTATTTTTAGTAGAGACGGGGTTTCACCTTGTTGCCCAGGATGGTCTTGATCTCTTGACCTCATGATCCACCCGCCTCAGCCTCCCAAAGTGCTGGGATTATAGGTGTGAGCCACCACGCCTGGCCTGCACTCATTCTTATAACCCCCAAAGCAGGTAGCTCACAGCTTTCCAAATATTCAGTACCCAGAACAATTTACTGAATTACATACGAGGCTGACTTTGCCGGAAAGCACTAATCTTTGATATTTATGGTGGGCAATTACCCCGAATTCTCAGGTTCCCAAATACGGAGAGAATGGCATGTTCAGACAGAAAGGCACTGTGGGGGACAATACCCAATTCCCTTGCCCTGCAAGGCTGTCTATGGCAAAGACTGCCAGTTGGCCACCCAATACCCCTTCTACCACCTTTCACCTTTAATGGCTCACAGCTGCCCAGTCCCTCATCGCTGCATGTGACCTAGTGACTGAGTTCCGGCCTATGAGAGGTAAGATGCATCTCATGGTGTTTTGAGAAGTCTGCTTAAAAAAGTAACATGACTAGGAACAGTGGCTCATGCCTGCCATTCCAATACTTTGGGAGGCTGAGGTGGGAGAACTGCTTTGAGGCTAGGAGTTCAAGACCAGCCTGGGCAACATGATGAGACCTTGCCTCTACAAAAAAGAAAAATGAAGAAAAAAAAGTAATGTCATGTGACTTATCTCATTCCTCTTGTGTGGCTTTCTACCAGCTACTGTGGACTCCACAAGAACCACACCTTAGGGATGGTAGAACAGTGAATGGGAAGAAACCTGAGTCTCTGAGGATCGCTGCAGTTACCATACTAGTCACAGGCTACCTACCTGCACATTTCTCTTTTTCTGAGATGGAGTCTGGCTCTGTCGCCCAGGCTGGAGTGCAGTAGCGCAATTTCACCTCATTGCAAACTCCGCCACCAAGTTCAAGCAATTCTCCTGCCTCAGCCTCCCCAGTAGCTGGGATTACAGGCATGTGCCACCATGCCTGGCTAACTTTTGTATTTTTAGTAGAGAAGGTGTTTCATCATAATGGCCAGGCTGGTCTCGAACTCCTGACCTCAGGTGATCCACCTGCCCTGCCTCCTAAAATGCTGGGATTACAGGTGTGAGCCACCGCGCCCAGCCTGCACATTTCTTTTATGGTAAGAAAAATTTTATCATGTTTAAGCCTTAAGCCAATAACATTTTGGGTTTTCTATCTTATACAGCCAAATTCAATCTTTAATGTCACAAACTGCTATGGTCCGAGGGAGCTAACTGCGTATGTTAGGCTGGAGCTAGACTGGCATCATGAAGTAGCAGGTAACAGGAGATTTGCTTGGGTCATGTGGCTGGGACTAGTATAAACTCCACCACTCCATCTTAGGGTCCCTCAGGAACCTCAATTCCATCAACGTGATTCTATCAACACAGGCCTCCCAGCCCCATCTATAAGGCCCTCCCCCATATCTTTAAATGCTCCCACATAGTCAAGCTGTATTTTGCTTTAGGGGGTTTCACTATTCAGGGTCTTAATCACCTTCAAAGTACAGCTCCCTCAAAGTCAGGTTCCACCTGGAAGGCACTTCCTGCACCAGACATAAGCTTCCCAAGGACCATCCTACTCGCCTAGTCATCCTTCCTGCAAATACAACTCTGCCCTGGCTTGCTGCCCCCTTCAAGCTCTCCCTTTCTGGTCATGTCCAGCTGCCAGGGAGCTCTTCCTCACTTTCTTTTTGATGGAACAGAGAATAGCAAAAATAAGAGCCAGAATCCAGGTGGCTCATCCGTAATTATGTAAATCTAGGTCAGTCACACCTTTCTTAGGCCTTATTTCCCCCGTTATAGAAAAAAAGAGAGAAAGACAATGAAGGGGGAAAAGACTGTGAAACGTGTAGGAAGCAACAATCATAAACTACCCTTATACTCAGCCCAGGTCCCGGTAAGGCTACACTCTCTCCATGGAAGTGTCCTCATATCCCTAATCCACCAGCAGCCGCCCACTCCCTGAATTTTACTGAGAAGAGCTGTGGTTCATATAATTCTTTGCATACTAGTGACTCTTTTCAGGGATACATCAATTTGATAAGATGCCCATTCTCAGGCTCAGGGCTCTTTTCAGGATTCACAAATGTGAAGGAGACAGTCTTCTCATATTTGATTTTTTTTTTTTTTGAGATGGAGTTTCGCTCGTTACCCAGGCTGGAGTGCAATGGTGTGATCTCGACTCACCGCAACCTCTGCCTCTTGGGTTCAGGCAATTCTCCTGCCTCAGCTTCCTGAGTAGCTGGAATTACAGGCTGTGCCACCATGCCCAGCTAATTTTTTTGTATTTTTAGTAGAGGCAGTGTTTCACCATGTTGACCAGGATGGTCTTCATCTCCTGACCTTGTGATCCACCCGCCTCGGCCTCCCAAAGTGTTGGGATTACAGGCTTGAGCCACTGCGCCCGGCCCCTCATATTTGATTTTTAACACTAGGGAAACAGAAAGCCATACCTGCTCAATGTATCCCCGATGTCCTGTAAGAGAAAGGAAAAACAGAACCATGAGAAGTCATTTCACAGATGTTTGTTGAAAACCCAGCTTCAGGCTGGCTCTCCTGGGAGAGATCGAGGAGGCAAGGATCGCTGGAGCATAACTCAGTCCTGAGGAGCTGAAAAGCAGGCCGAGCAAAACAAGCTGTGTGCTCTTTGCTATGTCAGCATTTCCCACACCCTCCTTCTGTACCCACCAGCCACTGGTCAAGGACCTCAGGATTTAAATTTACTAACTCAGGCATCCTTCCCTTGGACCTCAACTTGCCTACCTGTCCAGCTTGCTTTCTTTTCATTATGAAATAAGGTCAAATACACAGAAAAGCTGTTAGTACAGAGAACTCCTGCATACTCTTATTTTTTTGAGGCAAAGTTTGCTCTGTGTCACCCAGGCTGGAGTGCAATGGCGTGATCTCAGCTCACTGTAACCTCTGCCTTCCCGGGTTCAAGTGATTCTCCCGCCTTAGCCCCGAGTAGCTGGGAATACATGTGCACGCCAACACATCCGACTAATTTTTGTATTTTTAGTAGAGATGGGGTTTCACCATGTTAGCCAGGCTGATCTTGTACTCCTGACCTCAAGATCCACCCACCTTAGCCTCCCAAAGTGCTGGCATTACAGGAGTGAGCCGCCACACCCCACCTCAATAATGTTGATTACAGCTGTCCCACCCCACCCCCTTGGGTAAACCAGGATCATTCATTTCATTTAGTTATAATGTGTATTTTTATTTTTAATTATTGTTTAATTTTACTAACTCAATCATAAAAACAATATTATTTTATTATATATATTAATTTATAATATTTATATTTTATATATTTCTATAGAGATGAGCTCTGCTCTGTTGCCCAGGCTGGAGTACAGTGGCATGACCACAGTTCACTGCAGCCTCAACCTCCTGGGCTCAAGTGATCCTCCACCTCGGCCTCTGGATTAGCCAGGACTACAGAAGCTCATCTCAACACCTAGCTATTTTTAAGTTTTTTTGTAAAGGTGAGGTCTCACTATGTTGTCCAGGCTGGTCTCAAACTCCTGGGCTCACGCAATCCTGCCACCAAGCATCTAGAACCAGAGGCACACGCCATCACGCTTGACATGACACGTGTCTTCAACTGACTGGACCAGTTCCTCAGCACTGCTTCGTCTTCATGACACTGCGCTGTTTAATACAAGCCCATTACTGTATAGAATGTCCCTCCCTTTAAGTTTGCCAGATACCTGCCTCATGATTAAATCCGGCTTGTACCATCTTTGACTAGTATTATGTTGTGTCTTTCTAAAAATACAGTATTTGCGGCCGGGCGCAGTGGCTCAGGCCTGTAATCCCAGCACTTTGGGAGGCCGAGGCGGGTGGATCACGAGGTCAAAAGATCAAGACCATCCTGGTCAACATGGTGAAACACTGTCTCTACTAAAAATACAAAAAATCAGCTGGACATGGTGGTGCATGCCTGTAATCCCAGCTACTCAGGAAGCTGAGGCAGGAGAATTGCCTGAACCCAGGAGGCGGAGGTTGCGGTGAGCTGAGATCACTCCAACCAGGGTAACAAGAACGAAACTCGGTCTCAAAATAAATAAAGGTACAGTATTTGCTCGGCCCTTACTGGTAATGCTAATTTTAATCACTGTACAGTCACTATTTTATCTTTTGTAATCAGTAAGTAATCTGTGGTACTTCCAGTCCTCATCAAACATCCCCCCTTAGATGTAGCATGCATTCATCATTTTTGCGTGAGTTAATTGTTACCAAGATAACTGCCAAGTGGTCATTTTTCTAACTTCAAAATTCTTATTTAGTTGACATTCTCACAGAAGAATTTGGCTTTTTTATTATTAGCATGAATTCAGATTATTTTATTCAATGAGTTATAATCCATTGCTGTTCTCATTTCAGTGCCCCCAAATGTCTTAGACTTGGCTAGTGTCCTTGTCACTGCCTCCTCTATCCCATCCCATCTCATTCTCTCCACCCTCATTTTTTCCCAGTTTATACTTTGTCTCCACTATAAAAATAAGCAGATACCTGTATTTTCTAATTCTCCCTTCTTTTTTTTTAAATTTGAGATGGAGTCTCACTGTGTTGTCCAGGCTGGAGTACAGTGACACAATCTCATCTCACCGCAACCTCTGCCTCTGTGGTTCAAGCGATTCTCCTGCCTCAGCCTCCCAAGTAGCTGGGATTACAGGCGCACGCCACCATGCCCAGCTAATTTTTGTATTTTTAGTAGAGACGGGGTTTCACCATCTTGGCCAGGCTGGTCTTGAACTCCTGACCTCAGGTGATCCATCCACCTTGGCCTCCCAAAGTGCTGGGATTATAGGCGTGAGCCACCGTGCCTGGCTTCTCCCTTCTTTAATATACAAAAAGTAGCATACTCTCTATTTTACATTTTTATTTTCCAGATAGCAATACATATTGGAAAACACTCCGTATCAGTTTGGTAGGTATCATTCTTTTCCTTTTTAAAACTTGCATAATAGTCCATCATGTATATATGCATAATTTACTAAAACAATCTCATAGGTTTCAAAGTTAGATTATTTCCAATATTTTGCAATTACAACGCGTTGCGGCAAGTAATCCTGTGCATATGTATTCTCTAACATTTTCATGCTTAGTTATATCTTCAAAGTAAATTCTTAGATTTTTAAAATTTTTATTGATACGCAGCAGACATACATATTTTGGGAGTACATGTGATAATTTAACACACTCATAATTTGTAAAGGAATCAGTATAACTGGGGTTTCCATCACATTGTAAGTATTTGACTTTTCTTTATGCAAGAAGCACTGCAATTATTCTCCTCTAGTCATTTTGAAATATAAAATAGATCTGTAAAGTTACAGCCACCCTGCTGACCTATCAAACACTAGGTCTTATTTCTTCTATCAAGCTGCGTATTTGCGCCCATTCATCAATCTCCCCTCATCTCTCCTCCCCACACCCTTCCTAGAAGTTCTTTAATTCCTTGTGTGTACGTGTGTGTATGTACGTGCGCGCGCGCACACACACCACACACACACACACACACACACTTTTTTGTTAAACACTGCAAAATTCTCCTCCAAAAGGGGCCTAGGATTTTGCATTCCCCACCAGCCCGCTGGGGTATGAGTGTCCCTCCCTCACTTCGTCAACAGTGTATCCAGTTTAACATTTTTGCTATTCTAACGGGTAAGAAATGGTATCTTAGTGTGGTTTTAGTTTGCATTTCTCTTATTGTAAGAACAGCTGAGCATTTTTTCACCTGTTCACAGACCAACTTACGTCTTTTGCAACGTGGCTCTTTCTTTTATCCATTTTTCTCTAGAATGTGGGTCTTTTCTTTCTCAATTTTTAAAAGGTCTCTGTATGTTAGAAGTATCATTTGTATTTATGATATTTGTGGCAAATAGTTTCTTTCTATTTAACACCATCTTTTGACTGGTTGCAATGTGTGTGTGCTTTTTTCTTGTACTAATACCAACTGCTTTAATTATACGGGCTTTAAAATATGGCATAATAATCTAGTAGGCCCAGTTCTCTCTCAGAGCTCCTTTTTCTCAGTGTAGCCAAGCTATTTTATTTTATTTTTTTAAAAAAAAACAGAGTTAGGCTGGGCACAGTGGCTCACATCTGTAATCCCAGCACTGTGGGAAGCCAAGACTGGCGGGTAGATCGCCTGAGGTCAGGAGTTTGAGACCAGCCTGATCAACATGCAGAAAACCCCGTCTCTACTAAAAATACAAAATTAGCCAGGCCTGATGGCGCATGCCTGTAATCCCAGCTACTCAGGAGGCTAAGGCACGAGAATTGCTTGAACCTGGGAGGCGGAGGTTGCAGTGAGCTGAGATACAGCCATTCCACTCCAGCCTGGGCAACAAGAGTGAAACGCCGTCTCAAGGAAAAAACAAAGCAACAAAAATAAAAACAAAACAATCTTGCTCTGTTGCCCAGGCTGGAGTGCAGTGCTGCAATCATAGCTCATTGCAGGCTCAACCTCTTGGGCTCATCTATCCCAGCATTTTTTTTTTTTGAGACTGAGTCTTGTTCTGTCACCCAGGCTGGAGTGCAATGGTGTGATCTCGGCTCACTGCAACCTCTGCCTCCTGGTTTCAAGTGATTCTCCTGCCTCAGCCTCCCAAGTAGCTTGGACTACAGGCACGTGCCACCACATCTGGCTAATTTTTGTATTTTTATTTATTTATTTTAATTTTAATTTTTTTATTTTTAATAGAGATGAGGTTTCGCCACATTGGCCAGGCTGATCTCAAACTCCTGACCTCAGGAGATCCACCTGCCTTGGCCTCCCAAAATGCTGGGACTACAGGCGTGAGCCACCGTGCCCAGCCTATCCCAGCTATTATTATGCGCTTATTTTGTTCTAAGTGAAGTGGACTATCAATTTGTCTAGATCCAGAAAAACAGCTTGTTGGTATTTTTATTGAAATTTTAAGGGTGGGAAGGGGGATAAGGGATGAGAAACTACTTAAAACACTACATGGGTGATGGTTACACTGAAAGCCCAGACTTCACCATACAACATCTCCATGTAACAGGAAAAAAAGAAAGAAACTGCATTTGTGAATTTGAAGGACAACTTGCTTTCATGGTGTCTTATCAAAGAATAAGTGATCGCTATTTGTTCAAGTTTACTTTGTGTCTTTCAGGAATGTTTGAATGTTTTGCAATTTTCTCCACATAGATTTTTGTACATTTCTCATAGATTTATTCCCAGGTAGTTTATCACTTTTGGTTTTTTTGCAAGTGGAAACTGCATATTCTCTTCTGTCTTCTAATGGCTGTTATCTGGCATATGAAGGCTGCTGATTTCTCTATGTTAATTTCTTTCCAATTTTTTTTTTTTTTTTTTGCTTCAAATAGCTTTATTTTCATTTCGTTCCTTTCCCAATTTTTAAGCCTATAATTCTTTTACCTAACTGAACTGGTTACAACCTGTGATGCAGTGTTAAATAGAGATAAATGATACTGGGCATCTTGGCTGTTTCTGACCTCAATGGGAGTGCCTCCAGTATTGCCCCAATTATTAGTATTTACCTTGCTTTTCCAGTGACTTCCAACATAAGCACTTTTTGTAGTGCTCATGGAGACCCCTTCCCTTACCTAGTACGTGACTTGTCTTTCTTTTTCCACCTTCCTCATCATTCACCTTCAGTTTCATGCTATTTGTTTAAAAAATATTAAAAAAAAAAAAGCTTTAGCCTGGCATGGTGGCTCACCCTACAATATCAGCATTTTCAGAGGTCGAGGCAGGTGGATCACCTGAGGTCAGAAGTTTGAGACCAGCCTGGCCAACATGGTGAAACTGAATCTCTGCTAACATAAAAATTAGCCATGGTGGCCCGTGCCTGTGATCCCAGCTACTCAGGAGACCGAGGCAGGAGAATCACTTGAACATGGGAGGCGGAAGATGCAGTGAGCCAAGATCATGCCACTGCACAACTCTGCCTGGCAACAGGATGAGGCCTTGTCTCAAAAAAAACAAAACAAAAGAAACAAACAAACAAAAAAAACGAAAGTTTTAAAGCCTTAATTACGATGCTTGCTTCAGCAGCAGACATCCTCAAATAGGAACCATGCAGAAAAGACTAATGGCTCCTGCACGAGGGTAACACACACATCTGTGAACTGTTTTCTACTTTTAATGCTCACAGCAGCAGATTCACAATAGCCAAAAGGTGCAAACAACCAAAATGCCCATCGACTGACGAATAAACAAAACATAGCATACATCCGTACAGGGACTATTACTCAGCCACAACAAGAAACAAAGTACTGAAACATAGCAGGGTATGAATGAACCTTTGAAGAAGTCTGTGAAGTGAAAGGAAAAGGCCACGTATTCCATGATTTCAATCATCTCTGATATGTACAACAGACGAACCCACAGAGCCAGGAGTTAGGGGTGAAGGAAATGAGGAGCGATTAGCAGCGTGGGGTTTCCTTTTGGGCGGTGAAAGCATTTTGGATCCAGACGGCTGATAATTGTACAACTTTACTAAATGCTACTTTTGTGCCACATTTTACACTGAAAAACGGTGAGATTTAGGTTACGTATATTTTACAATAAAAAAAACAAAAACAAAAAAACAAAGAAGCCTAGATGTGGTGGCTGACGCCTGTAATCCCAGCACTTTGGGAGGGTGAGGCGGGTGTACTGCTTGAGCCCAGGAGTTTAAGACCAGCCGAGGCAACATGGCAAAACTACATCTCTACAAAAATTAGCCAGGCATGGTGGTGGATACCTGTAGTTCCAGCTACTTGGGAGGCTGAGGTGGGAGGATCACAAGCCTGGGAGCTTGAGTCTGCAGTGAGCCATGATCATGTCACTGCACTCCAACCTGGGTTTCAGAGTGAGACCCTGTCTCAAACAGCAACAATAAAAACTAAGAAAAAAACCCTTGGCCGGACGCAGTGCTTCACACCTATAATCCCAGCACTTTGGGAGGCCAAGGCAGGTGGATCATGAGGTCAAAAGATCGAGACCATCCTGGCCGACATGGTGAAACCCTGTCTCTATTAAAAATACAAAAATTAGCTGGGCATGGTGGCGCACGCCTGTAGTCCCGGCTACTTGGGAGGCTGAGGCAGGAGAATTGCCTGAACCCAGGAGGCGGAGGTTGCCGTGAGCCAGGATCGCGCCATTGCACTCCAGCCTGGGTAACAAGAGCGAAACTTCGTCTCAAAAAAGAAGAAAAAAACCCTCAAATCCATCTTGCAAAACCCAATCCTGGATGAGACTATCCACTTTCTCACTGCCTGTGCCACAGCCGTCAAGATTTAAGAAAGCAAAGCTGCTAAGAAAGTTACACAACAGGGCAGAATGGTTACACTATAAATAGATGTTCACTGACCAAACACTCCTCCTGGTTCTCGCAGGCCAAGTGACTTTCCCATACTCTGAAACAATAACTTGTTTCCATGGAACAGAAGACCCTTGAAACTAATTCCTGGCACACAGACTTTAGTTCTCATTTCCACCTGCCTTCTCAGGAACCACGCACTGTTCATCAGTGTATCGTTTCTGGCGACGTCAGTGTTCCCTCTCTCTCACCTGGAAACCTTACAACATAGACTCCTTTCCTGCTCCAGATAAAACTCCATCATCCTGCCTCATCTCTAGGTATTTTATTACACCCTCTCCTCAGTCATCTACTTGTGCAGTCTCCTCCAGTCCCTGCTCACTCAGCTCCCTCTAATATGGCTCCCGCCCCAGTTATTCCATTGTGACAGTTCTACAGAAGGTCTACATAATAACGGTCATGCTATTAAATCAAATTTGCACCAGCTTTGCAATTCACAGTAATGTAATTTCACCTCAATTGCATTAGTATGGTGTCCACTCCCTCCTTCCTCAAACAGGCCTGGTCACATTTTACCTCCCTGGCCAACTGTCCTCTTTGCAAATTCTTCCGTTTCTCCCTGTCACATACTGATGTTCATTACAGTTCCGGCGGTCTTTTATTATTCTAAACCAAGGGTTGGCAATCTTTCTTTCTTTTTTTTTTTTTTGAGACGGAGTTTCGCTCTTGTTACCCAGGCTGGAGTGCAATGGCACAATCTCGGCTCACCACAGCCTCCACCTCCTGGGTTCAGGCAATTCTCCTGCCTCAGCCTCCTGAGTAGCTGGGATTACAGGCACGCGCCACCATGCCCAGCTAATTTTTGTATTTTTAGTAGAGATGGGGTTTTACCATGTTGACCAGGATGGTCTCGATCTCTTGACCTCGTGATCCACCTGCCTCGGCCTCCCAAAGTGCTGGGATTATAGGCGTGAGCCACTGCGCCCGGCTGGCAATCTTTTTTAAAGGCCAAGCAGTAAATATTTTAGACTTTGTGGGCCATATAATCTCTGCTACAACTCAACGCTGCTGGTGTAGCAGAAAAGCAATGACAGATAATATGTAACAAAACAAATGAGCACGGCTGAGTTCCAATAAAAATTTATGAGTACTAAATTTAAATTGAATATAATTTCACATATAATAAAATACATTTGGCTGGGCTCACGCCTGTAATCCCAGCACATTGGGAGGCCGAGGCAGGTGGATCACCTGAGGTCAAGAGTTCAAGACCAGCCTGGGTAACATGGTAAAACCCCGTCTATAATAAAAATATAAAAATTAGCCGGGTGTGGTGAATGGCACCTGTAATCCCAGCTACCCGGAGGCTGAGGCAGGAGAATTGCTTGAGCCTGGGAGGTGGAGGTTGCAGTGAGCTGAGATCGTGTCACTGTGCTCCCTCCTCCTGGGAGACAGAGTGAGACTTCATCTCAAAAAAAGGGGAAGGAAAAGAAAAGAAAAACAATAAAAAAAAAAATACATTTCTCTGATTTTTCCCATGTAAAGATGTAAAAACCACACTTGTCGCCCAGGACATACAAACACAGGTGACAGACCATAATCTGCTGGCTCCTGCCTTATGCCATCATCAATTTTTATTTTATTTATTTATTTATTTTTTGAGACGGAGTTTCACTCTTGTTACCCAGGCTGGAGTGCAATGGCGCGATCTCGGCTCACCGCAACCTCCGCCTCCTGGGTTCAGGCAATTCTCCTGCCTCAGCCTCCTGAGTAGCTGGGACTACAGGCGCCCACCACCGTGGCCAGCTAATTTTTTGTATTTTTAGTAGAGGTGGGGTTTCACCATGTTGACCAGGATGGTCTCGATCTCTTGACCTCATGATCCACTCGCCTCGGCCTGACAAAGTGCTGGGATTATAGACATGAGCCGCCGCGCCTGGCCTAATTTTTTTTTTTTTTAATATTTTTCACATGTAGAGCATTTGTTTTTAGGGAGGCCACAAGCTTCATGCCTCTCATCACAATGACTCCAGATTCCTGTTGGGTGTGTTATAAACGGAAGAGCCATTCTTCAGGCCCCCTGCTCTGAGCACACCTTGCCATCATAAATTTTTAATAGCTTTTATCAATATTTATAAAAACTGTCTGATCGCCACACTAAAATATAATTCAGGAAAGTTTATTCAGCTCTTAATCCCAGGGCCTAGAATGGTGCCTGATACAGAGCAAATAATATGCACAGAATGAGCAAACGACAGACAAGCCTTAGCTTGTTCCCTGTGGCTTTGCTGGGGTAGGTCTGTGCAGCTTCATCACCAGCTCTCCAGGGTTAGACCACAAGACCCCTCAGCGAACCTAACCACTCCTGCTCAGGTGCTCACTCCTGCTCAGGTGGCCACAGTCATATGTTAAAACTACAAGATACTGGAGTGAAGAGAGTGTTTGAATGACATGTGATCTAAGCCCCTCATTGTTAACACATGAGGTCACTGAGGCCCAAGTGGAGAGCCTTGCCTGTGATCAGACCACTTGTCAGTGCTAAGCAGGCCCAAGCACCAGGTCTTTTTGCCATTCTCAGGAGACAACGCAATTGACTAATCCACGTTGTGCCAACCAGAACTTCTAGTTTACATAGTTTCCTTCCGGGGTGCACAATGCAGAGTGTGGCAAACTCTTGCTATTCCCGAGAGCTAATAGGAAGACAGGGGATCCTGGATACTACTTGGCAAAGGAAGAAGGGAGGCTACTTTCAGTGGATGCTGCTCTGGCAGAGCTCCGTAAGCCTTACCTGCAGGAGCTCCCTGGTGGGCTGCTGCTGCTTCTCTTCCAGCTGAGCGATCAGGCCACTGAGGTGGGAGATGTTGCAGGAGAACTGGGTGATGGCACCATTAATGCTATTGTAGATGGCCAAGTCCAGCTCCTCAAGGCGGGCCAGGAGGCGATACTCGTGCTCCTTTAAGGAGTGATACAGTTGCTCAAACTCCCAAACAATCTTCTCCCTTTCCATCTGGGTTAGGCTCTGTGCAGACCACAGGAAAAGGCAGTAAAGAGAAACATGGCTCATTTCTGGGGCCTTCACATTTCTCCCCTGGTCGCCCACCCCAAGACCTCATCATGGATGAAACAAGCACAGTGTACCTGAATTGAACCTTAGAAAGACTGAAACAAACAAACAAACAAACAAAAGAAACAAGCACAGTGCTAACTCATTCTTGCCACTCTTTACTGACTGGATGTGTAATGGCCAGGAACTGAGTTACCCCAGTGACTATTAAGACAAAATCTGCCGGGCGCGGTGGCTCAAGCCTGTAGTCCCAGCACTTTGGGAGGCTGAGGCGGGTGGATCACGAGGTCAAGAGATCGAGACCATCCTGGTCAACATGGTGAAACCCCGTCTCTACTAAAAATACAAAAAATTAGCTGGGCATGGTGGCGCGTGCCTGTAATCCTGGCTACTCAGGAGGCTGAGTCAGGAGAATTGCCTGAACCCAGGAGGCGGAGGTTGCGGTGAGCCGAGATCGCGCCACTGCACTCCAGCCTGGGTAACAAGAGCGAAACTCCGTCTCAAAAAATAAAGGACAAAATCCCTATTCTCAAATAACTCAGAGAAGTGAGTCAGGTTCATGTGATACATGTAGTCATGGTAAGGTAATTAAAGATAGGGTGACAGCCTGCAATGAAAGAAACTGGTACCGTCTTCATGGAAGCAATTTCAGTGTTTACGGGATGAACGAGAGCCCACCATACAGGCAACACGCAGGAAGCCTTTCCAGGCAGAAGAAATGGCACAGGCAAAATCACAGGGCAACAAAGCAAATGGTGCTCTCTGGCTGAAGCACACGAGTGTTGAGGGAAAAGGTCAGAAAAACTGAGACCTTGTCACACCTTGCCTGGCAGCCTCTATTGCAATTGGGAGGCATGAAATATTGTCACATGGGAAAGGGACAGGGTCACATATGTGCCCTACGGAGGACGGAACAACCAAGCGCAGCTTCCTTGCCCGATTGCCCTTCACATATACTCCATATCCTCTACCTGTCGTTCACGGGTGTTCACCAAACGCTGTCTCTAGCTTCGGGTGGGAGAGAGGTGGCTTCCCTATGGTTTCCTCTTGGTGCTCATTTGTTTGCCATAACTTACTGTCTGTCTTTCTTCAGCCGCCCCCACCACCATCAAGTCTCTATTAAAAAGTTTTGTTCTAAACAAGGAGCCAAGAACAAGCTCCAAAGAAATCACGTGAAGTTGTACTGGACATAGCCACGCCCTGCATTTATGCACTGACAATGGCTGCTTTTGAGCTGAGCTACAACAGAGCTAATCAGCTGCGGGGGAGGCCACATAGCCTACAAAGCTAGAAACATTCACTACCTGACCCTTTTTAGAAAAGTTGGCAACGTCTGTTCTAAACCCAGCTTCTCCCAAGAGCCTTCCCCCACTGACCGTCCCTCTAGTCACCCGGATTAGACACGCACTATGCACAAGTCTGTTTATAAATCCTTTTCAAACGTTATACTTCATGCGAGTTGGGTAATTCTTTCAAACGCATAAACTATACAAAATACGACGCACAGTCGGACCGGCTGCTGAGATGAACGCTACATTGGGGCAGTCTCTGCTTAACATGGGGAGATAGACGCTGCTGCCTTTAATAGGCCTGGGTCCTCGCAGCTCCAAAAAGAAACAGGATCTCAATAAGCTCTATGAGCTGAAGTCCAAAGCTTGGCAGATTATGAACCAGTTTGGCCCCTCAGCCCTAATCAACCTCTCTAATTTCTCATCCATAAAACTGGAACCAGCCAGCACCCCTACACAAGGCTCCATGGCCAATAGTACTACAGAGGTAAAGATACCAGGCACTCCTGGGACAGGAAGTTAGCCCTGAAAACAATCAGGTATTGACCAAGAAGAAACTGCAGGCCTTAGTAAGAGAAGTGGATCCTAATGAGCAGTTGGATGAAGATGAGGAGGAGACGCTGCTGCAGATTGCTGATGATTTTATCGAGAGTGCGGTGACGGCCGCCTGTCAGCTAGCACGGCGTTGCAAGTCCAGCACTCTGGAGGTGAAAGACGCCCAGCTACATTCAGAGCGCCAGCGGAACACGTGCATCCCAGGATTTGGCTCTGAAGAAATCCGACCCTACAAAAAAGCTTGCACCACGGAAGCTCACAAACGGAGAATGGCATTGATCCGGAAAACAACACACAGAAAGGTCAGGGAATGGACAACAATGTATTTGGAGATACTTGAGCTGAGAACTCAGCCATCTCATCCATGGATTTTTTTTTTTTAATGCTTTACAGAGAAGCATATGTTTTTTATTAACAGTGCAGCAATATCTATAATGACTTATCTATATCTATAATGCCAAAATCTATAGTATCTATAATGCCAAAAGAATAAGGCCTTCTACCCCAACTTCCGGTCCCTTTTCCCTGCCATCTCAAAGCGGAGCAGTGTATCTTCCAGAGAAGACTTTATTTGTGTTTCATTATATAAGTGACTGAATATGGGACAAAGCATTACGGTCTTTTTGGGTGAGACAGTATTAGTAGGATTTGTCAAGGGTTCCGTTTCCTTCTCCTTTCCCCTTTTCCCTGTACTTCGTAATGTCAGTGTTTATGTGAACACGACTTTCATTTGCTTTTCCAGAACAAAGAAGTTATTCATCAAAAAAAAAAAAACAAACACCTATACAAAATAATCTTAGAAACAAAAAAGGCTGAAACAATCCTTAAATAGCAACTATTTCAGTGTTTCTCAAAGTGGGTGCTACTGGTACCTTGGCAGGACAATCCTGCCTGGCATGGGACTGTTTCTTGCACTGTAAGACACTTAGGGTTCCTGCCCCGACCTCTCCAATCGCTCAAGTCTTCTGAAAACAGCCAAAGAAATACCCACACACCATTGCAGAGGACAGAAAGGCAGGACTAGCCTTACGAATCTAGTCTAAACTACTCATTTCACAGATGAGTAACTGAGGTCCAGAGAGGCTGTATGACTCCATCTTTGCAACCGAGCCTAGAAGCATGTCCAGGTGCCCAGATGCTCTGAGAAGGGCTTTTCTCCCCTTTGATAATCCTCCCTCAGAGGATACCATCACGTGGACAATGACCTGGGTCCACTCAGGCTCACTGAGAAGATTCTCCGTCCATCAGACTTATTTTCAAGGAGAGCTGAAGTCTCAGTGCACTGTGTGGGCAGAGCAAGTGGTGGGATCTCAGGACTCCATGGGAATGAGTTCCTCGTCTAAGAGTTCTTTACTGCGCCCTGCCTGGAATGACAGAAGGATGCTGGACTCTACTAGTCTGGGACTTTACTTTTCAGACAGAAATATCTCTACTCAATGGAGATTCGTCACGTTTTATGTGTTGTTCAAAAACATTTTTTTTTTTGAGACAAAGTTTCACTCTTGTTACCCAGGCTGGAGTGCAATGGCGCGATCTCGGCTCACCACAACCTCCGCCTCCTGGGTTCAGGCAATTCTCCTGACTCAGCCTCCTGAGTAGCTGGGACTACAGGCACGTGCCACCATGCCCAGCTAATTTTTTGTATTTTTAGTAGAGACGGGGTTTCACCTTGTTGACCAGGATGGTCTCGATCTCTCAACCTTGTGATCCACCCGCCTCGGCCTCCCAAAGTGCTGGGATTACAGGCGTGAGCCACCGCGCCCGGCTCAAAAAACATTTTTAAACACCTAGGTGGTATTTTTAAATGTTACAAAAATGCATTTTACAAATGTCTCTGTACTTTTTGTTTGTTTTTTCTTTTCAAAACAAAATTCCTGGCTGGGTCCAGTGGCTCACACCTGTAAACCCACTTTGGGAGGCTGAGTCAGGTGGATCACTTCAGGTTAGGAGTTCAAGACCAGCCTGGTCAACATGGTGGAACCCCATCTCTATTAGAAATACAAAAATTAGCTGGGTGTGTTGGTGCACACCTGTAGCCCCTGCTCCCTGGGAGGCTGAGGTGGGAGAATTGCTTGAACTGGGAGGCAGAGGTTGCAGTGAGCCGAAACCTTGCCATTGCACTGGTGACAGTGTGAGGCCCTGTCTCAAAAAAAAAAAAAAAAAAAAAAAAAAAAAAAAAATCCTAAATACCTCTATCATGAATTAACACATCAGCCACTTGTCAAGGCCTTGAGGCTGGAAGAAGAGAACAGAGTAAAAACTCCACAATCAAGGCACTGTCAAGGAGAATAACCCAGAGAGAAGCAACAGTGGGCCTTATACAGGACGTCTGCAGAATGGTAACAAAGGGAGCTGACTGTACCCAATAAAGTTATCTATGTCAGTTTTGCCAAGAATCAACCGTGGTCTATGCAGTTAGCAGGTTAAGCTTTATTGACAGGTCTGGTTTCCAGGGGTTCCAAACTAGGCTCCTCCATCCTTTCCCCAAAAGTAAGGGAATCTCTCAGTTCTCAGGGTGAGATCCCCCGCCATGTGCGGTTGATCCACCTCTACCTACAAGTTCTGGATGACTTGCTGGAGAAGTTTAAGGGAAGTAACAGCTCTACAGAAGAGGGGAGCACCAGCAGAAGCGACTGTGAATTCGGACAACCCTTACCAAGAGTTCGGCTCGTGCCTGTTCCCCCTGGGCCCGACGTCTCTTCTTTAAATCTTTCACTCTTTTAAGGTGGTCCAGCTGGTTCTGAATCTGCTCCTGAGAAAAGCAAAACAGATGGCAGTTCAAAATTAAGTAGACCTTAGCATCAGCATGGTCATCGAGACGGAATCTCACTCTGTCATCCAGGCTGGAGTGCAGTGGCGCAATCTCAGCTCACTGCAACCTCCACCTCAAAGGTTCAAGCGATTCTCCTGCCTCAGCCTCCCGAGTAGCTGGGACTACAGGCACGTGCCACCATACCCAGCTAATATCTGTACTTTGAGTACAGATGGTTTCCCCAAGTCTGTCAGGCAAGTCTCAAATTCCCGATCTTGTGATCTGTCTGCCTCAGCCTCCCAAAGTGCTGGGATTACAGGTGTGAGCCACCTCACCCAATAGCATGGTCATTCTTATCACAGATGGAGTCCACACACCTGATGCCAAGTCCTGTCTGGTCCTGTCCTCAGGCCACAGTGCCACCCACAAGATTAAGACCCAGGGCACAGGGGCCATCAAGCCTCGCCTCTGGCATTTTGTGTCTATCTAAGCAGCCTGTGGCTTCAACCACTCAGCTACTGCGTCAGGACTATTTGTGTCTATCTTAAACAATGAGTCATCTACCTGTCCCTGGTCGGATATTGCATGACTTAGCGGAAATGTGACTGGAGCAGGAGGCTGAGAGTTGTGTGGTACTGGAGCTTTTCCTCACAGGCATACTGCGAAGGTGACTTATTTTCCTCAGGTGTGACATGGGCAAACACCATCTTCCCAACCTGCTCAAGATGTATCACCAGTGAGTGAAATAATATAGCTGAAAGGTCCATTAATGTTAAGGGATTACACATGAATGTACTCCCATTAAACAGGGACATAATTGTGTATGCATTACTGAAGCCCTCAAGATACAAATAATTGTGTCATGGACTCCTTGAAGGGCGCCTTACAAGTGTTTTATTTGGAACACTTTGTCTGCACGTTACTGTTTGTTTAGCTGTGCCGGTTAGCAGAGGGCTCTGAGCGTCCTGTGATTCCACGTTCTTCCTCATGACTGTGTTATCTCCTGGGTCCTAGAGTAGTTAAACGACTTACTCAAGCACCAAAGAGCTGTTATTTTCCGTGAGCTTCTAGAGCCGGGCAGACTGAACGAAAGTGCTAGAGAAAATGCTTCTACACTAAGGAATGGCCGTGAGTCAGTGAACGTCTGAGCGCGTTTTGTTGCGAGCCGGTGGGAGCGGAGCGTGTCCCCAGCTTGCGGATGTGCGCGGGTTGTATGCGCTTCTTTCATTCTGTCAAAAGGTCTCCGTGTACAACGCGCCCGCGAGGCAGGAAACTCGGGGGCACACGGAGCGAGGAGAGTGGGGGTGGGGGGACTTGTGGCTTCTTCGCCAGCCACAGGTTTTCCTCCAGATCCGAGCGCGGAGGCTCCGGGGCGCACGGGGAGGAAATGACGGCTGCGAACCAGCCCCACGTCCGGCTCAGCCATTTTCTGGGCGGAAAAGGGACGCCCCGGGCTCTCCCCCTCCCTTTGTCCGCCGCCCGCCCCGCCAGCTCACCTTGAAGCCCTCCACGGCCTCCTCGAGCGGCAGCACGCTGTGTCCGCGGTGCTCGCGGGAGCGGTCGCACACCACGCAGATGGGCGTCTGGTCCTGCTCGCAGTACAGCTTCAGCGGCTCGCGGTGCTTCTCGCACGCGCCCATCTCCCCGCCCGGGCCCACCGGCCGCTCGGAGCGCAGCTGCTTCACCAGCTGGGTGACGTTGGCCAGGTGGCGGTTGGGCCGCAGGTGCCGCTGCGGGAAGGTCTCCCGGCACTGCGGGCACGACACGTTGGTCTCCGCCGCGCCCCAGCAGCGCGCCAGGCACGCGCCGCAGATGTTGTGTCCGCAGTCGAGCATCATGGGCTCGGAGAAGTACTGCAGGCACACGGGGCAGGTGGTCTCCTGCTGCAGGCACTCGGCCACGCTCGCGGACGCCATGGCGGGGCCTGCGGGGCGCACGGGCATGGGCCCCGACCGAGCTCCGCGCCGCGCCCAACTCTCCCGCGCTCTCCGGTCGCCGTTCCCGGGAGGCGCGGGGCGGGCGGAGGGCGGCGCCTCCCGGGCCCGGATCCAGACGCGCCCGCGCCGCGAAGACTCGAGGTGGCCGCGCCGCTCCCCGCGCCGGGGCCCCCGATGAAGGCGCGAACACGCTCCGGGGCAGGGCCGGGTCGCCGAGGGGCAGAAGCCCAGGGGCAGGCGCGCAAGACAACGTGGCCGCGTCCGAAGCGGGTCCCGGCGGCCGCGCAGACCCCACCCCGGCGCGAGCGGAAGAGGCGGCTCGGCGGGCGGGGCTTGGCCCGCGCTCCCAGTGAGAGGCTAGATTTCGTGGCCTCGGGGCCTGGGATTTTCTTCTCGGAAAGGCCGAGGAGGCTCTGCCGCGGTCCCTGGCCCGGTCGCGCCGAAGCTCCAGCCTAGGGGTCGGGGCCCGAGAGCCGGCGCTGTCTCCGGGCGCGGCGCCGACCGGGTCTCCTGGCCACGCGCTCCGGGCCTATAGGCTTCCGCGGCTGCCGGGCCGGGCCCCGAGTCTTTGTTCGGTTTCCTTTTGGTGCCTGGGTCCCAGCCCTGCAGAAGAAAGCAGGCTTTGTGTGGATGCCGAGGAACGAACGGAGACATCTGGCCTCCCCCGGAGTCTGGAGGATGAGGGTTGCGGACTAGCCCACCTGAGACGTGGGGCCTTTTATTAAGCAGCCCCATTTGTAGGCACCTGCAGTTTCGTTTAGATATCAGACGGTAACGTTTCTGTGTTGCAATAACAAGCCCAGTTCTGCTACTTCTCTCCTGTGCTCAGGCAAGTTGGTTTACCATTCATTTACCTCAGTTTCTCCCGTGTGAAATGGGGATAATTGTACCGCAGTAAGAAGTACATTTCCTTACATCTTTTACTTTTTGTACCATAGGGTTGTTTATCCATTAAAATAGTAATAAAATGCCCACTACATAGGGTTGTTGTGCTGAGTAGCAACTACAAATTGCTTGCTCCTTTCTGAGGCATCGACCCAGGGTCTTGGAGGCCGCAGACCGCCAGCATTTTTTTTTTTTTTGAGACGGAGTTTCGCTCTTGTTACCCAGGCTGGAGTGCAATGGCGCGATCTCGGCTCACCGCAACCTCCGCCTCCTGGGTTCAGGCAATTCTCCTGCCTCAGCCTCCTGAGTAGCTGGGATTACAGGCACGCGCCACCATGCCCAGCTAATTTTTGTGTTTTTAGTAGAGACGGGGTTTCACCATGTTGACCAGGATGGTCTCGATTTCTTGACCTCGTGATCCACCCGCCTCGGCCTCCCAAAGTGCTGGGATTATGGGCGTGAGCCACCGCGCCCGGCCCCCGCCAGCATTTTTATGTTACGTTCTTATCCCTTACTGGCGTTTCCTAGTTTTCTTTGAAATTTTTCTCAAAATTATCCTGCTGTCTGAGCAAGACAGGCTTCTGCTTCCAGATGATCACTTTATTTTTATTTTTTCAAAGTGAAAGTAAGTTTATTATTATTATTATTATTATTTTTGAGACAGAGTTTCACTTGTTACCCAGACTGGAGTGCAATGGCACGATCTCGGCTCACTGCAACCTCCGCCTTCTGGGTTCAAGCAATTCTTCTGCCTTAGCTTCCCGAGTAGCTGGGACTACAGGCGCGCACCACCATGCCCAGCTAATTTTTATATTTTTAGTAGAAAGGGGGTTTCACCATGTTGACCAGGATGGTCTCGATCTCTTGACCTCGTGATCCACCCGCTTCGGCCTCCCAAAGTGCTGGGATTATAGGCGTGAGCCATCGCGCCCGGCCTATTATTATTCTTTTAAAGTAAGTTTATTTTTTAAGAAAGTAAGGTAACAAAGAATGGCTACCCCGTAGGCGGAGCGGCCCACATCATCGCTTTAGAGAGGTCTACACTCTGCTTCTCTTCCGCAGGGGACAGAAAGTCTGAGGGCCTCAGTGGACTTGCCAACCACAAACCCACATCCACCTTCTCAACCATACTCTGGGTATCTGGTCGTTCAGATTTCAGTCCCAAATAGCCCTAACCCATTTCCAGAATGATGCAGTGTACCTGGCCCAGGCCACACCACAGCCTGGTCTTGGTGTGAGATTGGGTCAACATTGAAATTTGTAAGAATTAGAGAATAAGTACGTCAGTTCTGATTTACTCCAAAAAGGACTAGTAAGCATTGCAACACACGCCGAAATATGAGAGATACAGATAGGCAGATAAAGCTGCCCTTTAGCTGCCTCCTGATTTGGGGGATACAAGTCTAGAGTTTGGCTTTGTTGTTAAGAATTGTTTTTATCCTACCAACCCTTTATGACCTCTGGAGACAGGTGACCTGGGGTAAAGAAACGTAGAACAGGTAGGGTGTGGTGGTTTATGCCTGTAATCCCAGCGCTTTGGGAGGCTGAGGTGGGCGGGAGTTTGAGACCAGCCTGACCAACATGGTGAAACCCTGTCTTTACCAAAAATATACAAACCAGCCGAGCGCAATGGTGCACACCTGTAATCTCAACTATGGAGGCTAACCTGGAGAATCAGTTGAGCCCAGGAGGCAGAGGTTGCAGTGAGCTGAGATTGAGCCACTGCACTCCAGCCTGGGTGACAAATCAAGACTCCACCTCAAGAAAAGAGAAAAAGAGGGGGGGGTGCGGTGGCTCACGCCTATAATCCCAGCACTTTGGGAGGCCGAGGGGGGTGGATCACAAGGTCAAGAGGCAGGAGAATTGCTAGAACGTGGGAGGCGGAGATTGCAGTGAGCTGAGATGGAGCCACTGCACTACAGCCTGGGTGACAGAGCAAGACTCTGTCTCAAAAAAAAAAAAAGAAAAAGAGGTAGTGTGAGGATCCTTGTGATGGAATAGTTCTGTGTCTTGACTGTAGTGTTGTTCCTGTGTATTTACATATGCAATAAAATTGTGTAGAACTAAACACACACAAACACGTGAATTTATGTAAAAATGGTGAAATCTGAATAAGATTGGTAAATTTTAACGATGATAATTTGCTGGTGTGACACTGTACTGTATTTATGCAAGATGTTGTCATTGGGAGGAACTGGTTGAAGGGTATGCTGGATCTTTATTTTTATTTTAGTTTTTTGGAAACAGAGTCTTGCTCTGTCACCCAGGCTGGAGCGGTGACGCCATCTTGGCTCACTGCAACCTCCGCCTTCTGAGTGCAAGCAATTATCATGCCTCAACCTCCCAAGTAGCTGGGATTACAGGCATGTGCCACCATGCCCGGCTAATTTTTGTATTTTTAGTAGAGATGGGGTTTTGCCATGTTAGTCAGGCTGATCTCGAACTCCTGACCTCAAGAAATCTTCTGGCCTCAGCCTCCCAAAGTGCAAGGAATACAGGAGTGAGCCACTGCACCTGGCCACTAGATCTTTAGTAACTGTACCTGAATCTACAATTATGTCAAAATAAGTTTTAAAAATATGCATTCACAACATCAATTACTTCTTTTTCCAGGTAGCAAAGCTCTGTATTTTGCTCTTGATTGGACTAATGCCTGTGGACAGAGAAAGTCATGTGCCGACTGGCTTAGGTTTAGTTTTACTACCTATTCCTGAACCGATTACTGTGGCAAGGTAACTGAGATCATGCCCATGGTGTATGCATCAAGACCTATTCTTGAAGTCAAAACTCTGAAACCTCATGGGTACTGTGGAGTGAAGTGAAGAGTGGAATGGAGTGGAGTGTGGAGTGGAGTGGAGTGTGGAGAGGAGTGGAGTGTGGAGTGGAGTGCGGAGTGGAGTGTGGAGTGGAAAGGAGAATGGAGTGTGGAGTGGAGGGTGGAGTAGAATCGAGTGTGTGGAGGGTGGAGTGGAATGGAGTGTGGAGTGTAATGGAGAGTGGAGTGTGGAGTGGAGTATGGAGTGGAATGGAGAGGAGTGTGGAGTGGAGTGTGGAATGGAGTGTGGAGTGGAGTGGAATGGAGTGTGGAGTGGAGTGTGGAGTGGAATGGAGAGTGGAGTGGAGTGCGGAGTGGAGTGTGGAATGGAGTGTGGAGTGGAGGGTGGAGTGGAGTGTGGAGTGGAGTGGAGGGTGGAGTGGAGGGTGGAGTGGAGTGTGGAATGGAGTGTGGAGTGGAGGGTGGAGTGGAGTGTGGAGTGGAATAGAGAGTAGAGTGGAGTGTGAAGTGGAGTGTGGAGTAGAGTGGAATGTGGAGGGGAGGGTGGAGTGGAGTGTGGAGTGGAATAGAGAGTAGAGTGGAGTGTGGAGTAGAGTGGAATGTGGAGTGGAGGGTGGAGGAGACTGGAGAGTGGAGTGGAGTAGAGTGGAGTGTGGAATGGAATGAAGTATAGAGTGGAGTGTGGAGTGGAGGGTAGACTGGAATGGAGTACTGGTTCTCTCTATCCCCTTCCCTGTCACTATGTAGTCACCTGGGCCTTATGTCTATGGAAATTAGGTTCTTCTGGGTAAATCAAAATAAGGGGCTTAGGCATGACAGAGGTTTTATCTACCTCAGTAGGAAGACCAGAAGGAGGTGGGTGGGAGTCACATGGCGGTTTCATTATCCTCAGGGCTCACTGTCCTATTTTCTGCTCCAACATTCTTGGGCATCACATCTACCCTCAATGTTATCTGATAGTCCAGGATGACTGCTGGAGTTTCATAATCCAGAATGGAAAGAGAAAGTGCAAAATGTCATTCATCCCAATTGGGTGAACCTTTTCACTTTTTTTTTTTTTGAGACGGAGTCTCTCTCTGTCACCCAGGCTGGAGTGCAATGGCACGATCTTGGGTCACTGCAACCTCTGCCTCCCAGGTTCAAGTGAGTGTCTTGCCTCAGCTTCCCGAGTAGCTGGAATTACAAGTGCGTGCCAGCACCCCCAGCTAATTTTTGTATTTTTATTAGAGACAGTGTTTCAACATGTTGACCAGGATGGTCTCAATCTCCTGACCTTGTGATCCACCCGCTTCAGCCTCTCAAACTGCTGTGATTTACAGGCATGAGCCACTGCTCCAGCCTTTTTAAATTTTTTAAAGGTTGCCATTGAAAAAGATGGTGTTTTAATTCATTGCACAAACAGGAGAACACCTTTGAGGGGGAAAAGGGGTGCCTGTAGTAACGATGTAAGAACCACAGGTAGAAGTAGGAAGCACTCCAGATAAACTGAGAAAAATTATCACCTTATCTTTGAAGACGCTTCTCAAAAATCTGTTCCCCACAGCAGCTTGGGCAGTACGCATTTTAGCTGAGTATGCTGCTATGCGGGGTGAAACTCTGCATTCTTTGTGGAAGGAAGGAGGAA